TTGGCAGCGAAAGTGCAACCAGGGGAGGCTCGTTTTGGACCAGAATTTGATTGGGAAAAGCCGTGGCGTGACCAGGTGTTCGGGGCTAAGATGAGCGAGACAAATGGAAACAAATTTCTTTTTGTCTAGGGATTCCGAGGCAGCGTTCGGCAGTGAAAGTGCAACCAGGGGAAGCCCGTTTTGGACCAGAATTAGATGGGGACAAGCTGTGGCGGGGCCAGGTGTTCGGGGCCAGGATGCGCGAGAAAAAACGCGAAACAGGGAAGAAAACTTGTTCTAGAAGGATCCAGAAGCAGCGTTTGGCACCGAAAGTGCGACCATGGGAGGCTCGTTTTGGACCAGAATTACATGGGGACAAGCTATGCCGGGGCCAGTTATTCGGGCCAGGATGTGCGAGAAAAATGGAACTATTTTTGTTCTATATAAGGATCCAGAAGCAGTGTTTGGCACCGAAAGTGCGACCATGGGAGGTCCGAGGAATCGAGGTTCGCTTAGGGCTATGTGGTTCAGCATTAACCCAAGGCTTCCAAAGACGACCAAAAGAATGGTCGTTCTGACAAAGACTATTGTTTTTGCGTTTTTCGTTTACCACGCATGGATCACGCCAACCACGCCCCTCGCACACGTTTTTTCAAGTCGATCGAACATAGTTGTTGCATCACGTGGATCTTGATTTCGAAGATGTATTGAGCCTAACGCACCATGTAGTGACCAATCACATCCACAGATTGGGAAACAAAACCACATACATGTATATGCACACACTTGCAAACACTGCAACCTAGAAGCTTGATCACTTTCTGCTTCATGGTCCAGAGGCGAAGCTTTGCCATCTTCAAAGCCCATGAACGCTGGTGTGATGGGTGTGCTCGAAGTAGTGTTCCTGATGGGGGCGTTGAACATGAGATTTTTTATTAGCAATTTAGAAACCCATCACATGACACAGCCCACCACGATCAAGTTTATCACATGACTTGATGCTGATGGGGCTCGGCGCATCCAACCAACATTGTCCTCATCGACGAAGCAATGAAGGTGTCGGAAGTTCACTCCTTGGATCTTTGGCACGCAATAGGACTCCAAACATGTGAACAGAGATCAGCTCACAGAATGCAAGCTTCGAAAGGTTGTTAGGGGAAGTTGCACAGACAAGGATCCGCGTTTTACTTCGAGCAAGAGATGACCAAACGCCTAGGCAACAGAAAGTGAGTTATAGACAGTGCAATGTTTAAAGCGATTCGATTTTCTTGCAATCAAGATGCATGAATTTTCGGTCGCAAAAATGAAGTGTGGCTTACCAAGCCTGTGATGCAGGAAAGGGATCGATGTGTGTGTCATGTACACATTTTTTTTGCGTGCATGCATGACAGTCCAGTAAATATTACAAAGGATATGCACTTTGCATGGCTCCTTGCCTTTCGCTCATGTGGTTCAGCAGCACGTGCACTCGCGCAAACAACATGCCCTCTCGATAGATCTCATCAGCTTGTTGCGCTGACCTGGAATGAACAGATTTTGAAAAGTTCATTGGAAAACCAATGAGTGGCCATGTCTATAAAGTGCAGACAAAAGACAAAAACCGTGGAGCTGCCTCCACAAGATGCATCAATCTGGCCAAAGATGTCCTTGGAACGTAACCGCACATGCACACAGTCACAAAATGAACAGCGAAGCAGCATCAATTGATGCTTAATCAACACCACCGCAACCAGGCAACATGCACACAGACATCTCTGCAAGCCGCTCAACTGCAGGGTAGCTCTCAGCCGCAACTCTCATCACACTTGAAAGCCACAGCTGTATACAACGATTGTTGTATGCTTTCCCCGTCATCAAGATTTCTCCACCTTTCTTCACAACCTCACTGCACACCCCAAAAGCTGCGCCAGCGAGAAACTAAAACACACTCACACAAAGCGCATAGGGTGTGAGGAACAAAGTGTGTTTTTCTGTCGAAATGGATCCAGGTCGCCAGCTTCACTGTGAATGCTGGCTGACTGCATGGCACCTTAGCAGCCTTGCAAAAAGCTCTGAAGTTCAAATATGCGCGGTCCATGCGCTCCTGCACATGGCCAAAATCTGGCTAAAAAGGCATGAACATGGGATAGCTGTCGGTCCTGAAGACTGAGTTCATCAGGACGGCCAAACATGTCAGTTTCTTCAAGGACAGCCATCCTAGGCCGGCATGCAGTCTTGGTCAATGTTCCATGGTTTAAACAAGCTGCGCCAATCGACTTAGCTTCGCATGCATGCCGAAAGTCAAACAACTTCCATTGCAGCCATACATCAAGCCAAGGTTGATACAATGCATAGAGCAAAAGGCGATGCACGAATGATGAAATCCCCTCAAAAGGGGCAAAGGGCCTCACTGCAAATCAATGACGAGGATCCACGATGGTCAAGCAATTGATGCGTGAATTTACATGATACTAGCGCTGACATGCCAAGCTGCTGGGCCCGACAGGAGGCATCTCAACCCCCAGGAACTGTTCAAACATGTACAGCCGCTGCCACAAAGGACTTGACTCCTGGATGTTATAGTACTTGGCATCCCCAACTGCGTAAGCCGGACACGCAAAGCACACTGGCTTGTTTTTGCCTGCTGTCCAAGTTGAGTTGAAGCGGAACACTTGTTTGTGCCAAAGCCAGTCCCCACGACACTCGACCACCTGAAAGCGGCGGCCTGTAATTTGCTGTCCAATGCGATCACGAAACTTCCCTTCCAAAGTCTCCCCATTGGGGCCACAAGAAGGGAACCGATCTTCCCACAAGCAGTTCAGGCTCCAAGTAATCCTGGCAAAAATTTTGTTGAGAGTGATATGTTTGTAGAGAAGTCGTTCGTCGAGCGTGCACACAAGCCATCTTGATGCCCTCGAGTTCCGAGGCCGAAAGAGTGGACAATTCAAGAATATTCCCAAGGCTTTGTGCACTGGCTGGTGTGCAATTTGTCGAACTCGACAGCTGTCTCCATAAATGCCCAAGGGGATAAATGAATTTTCTGAGGTGTTCATGGCCCACTTCGTTCCCCGAGCTCGGTGTTCTTTCCAAAAAGTTTCCACTTCTGCACTCCCAACATCCAGCCCCACTTCAGTCCAAAGGTATTGAATCAAGCTGAATGGCTCCAACATTTCTATGTCGATCCATGTGAACCCTGTTGTGCTTTTGCGATCTGCCACAGGAGCACGAATTTTGGCAGTCTCCTTGGTATCAATGGATCACCCATGATCACCCTGACCCTTTTTAGAAAGTTCCCAGTGCACACGTGTGTTGAATAATTGCGCACCAAGTTTCCACCGGAATGCTGCAAAAGCGAAAAAAGTCTCGAGTGTTGTTCCACTTGGATTTGAGACCCAATTGTAGACTGGATTTGCGTGTCCTGTCATTCCCAAGGTCCTTGGCTGGGCTGATTTGTTTGTATTTTGCCAGTTGCAACTCACACATATACCGGTATGGTTCTATGCGTGCACAAGCGGTGTATCATTTTGCCGATCGAGGTTCCTTGCAATGATTTTTGCAATTCCGCATGCACTGCTTGATGCTGCTGACCTCAATGTACTATCGATACCGTTGATTGAAGTAAATTATAATTGTTGAAACTACGATGCACACGCATGAACACACACCATGATTCGATGTTTCGATAAATTACAACAGTGACCCTCTCGACAGTGAGTTTCATCCAAGGAGCACCGCCAGCGACATCATCAATGGCATCGACCAAAAAGGAGGACAAGCGTCGCCTCTGGTTTCGGTCATGTTGGCCTGCATGCAGGCTGGACATTCGATAAGTGAATCCGGAAATAAAAGTGCATGTAGTGCACCTGCAGATCCATGCACAGTTAATATATGCAATACAGGCTGCGGATCGATCTGTCATTAATTAGGCATCCAGTAGCTAGCCACAGTCATTTTTCTCGACGTCGCCCCAGATCGCTTCAGACTAGGTCATCCAAGATTGCGATGTCACACATCGGAAATAAATTGCATCTAGAGCAGGTTCGAGTCCTAGACACAGCCCCACAACTGCTGTGTCGACTTGGACAGCACTATCCCGCTATTGGAGGCATATTGTGCACCAGCTCCCAAAAGCAACAACATGTTTCTTTGGGTTTTTGTTGGTATCGCGCATGGATGTATTCTTCAGGGTGCACCGCACTCAACAGAACCTTGCCCACTGATACCGCTAGCCCATGTTGGACTTGGCATTTTTCCAAGTTTTGATACTCTCATTTGCAGCATCGGTACTTGCAGTCATCATGTCCACCTGGAGCCGATGACGCTTTCAACTCAAACCAAAGCACCATGCAAGTGCTGTCGATGTAGATCTAGAACCGGACATGTTGGTTTGAAATGTGACTCCCCCCCACCTCATCCTTTTCAAGATGTCCAGAAACAATGTCCTTGTGCTTCTTCAGCTCGTTTTTGAAAGCCTTCAAGGACTCGCAAACTGCTGCCTTCAGCGATTCAGCCCTTGGCGATCGAAGAAGCTTGAACTCAAAAACACGTTCAGTTTCTTTTGACAAGTACAGTCAGATTGGGTCGGATTCAAAGGTATCACAATGCATGCATGGGAACTAACAGGATTGATTGCATGAGTCCAGATCCGGGTTGAATCAAAAGCGGGAATGGGACAGTGGGACATGCGCAAATGTGGGACTCGATAAGGTGATGCTATGCAGTTGAAGGGCATGAGCTCTGCGTTCTGCTCTTTGCGGCTGATGTCGGCCAAGCATGCCACCAAGTCATTCAGAGCCTGGCCAGCATGCACGACGTGACTAGAATCGACGATTGTTTCGGGAATCGGAAGCGACATTGCACATGTGCAATAGAAGTTCTCACAAGTCCAAAGACCTAGTATAAAATTACATTTGCATGTTTTTTTGCAAAGCATCTCAGAGCAAAATGAGTCTTTGACTTGCTTGATCGATACTGTGCATGGTACGTCTCGAACATAATATATATATATGAATATGTTTTTTTGCAAACCATCTCACAGTAAAATGAGGTCTTTGACTAGCTCGATCGATACTGCGCATGGTGCATGAATCTCAAGAGCCTTCTTTGCTTTGTTGCGTTTATCCTGCTTTTCCTTTTCAGCAGCTCGCTCTCGCTTTTTCTTTTCTTCCTTTGCGCGCTTCTCTTCCTGCTTCTTCTTCTTCTCTTGCTCCTTCTCCTCTTCCTTTTTCTTCTTCTCTAACTCCTTCTCTTCCTCCTTCTTCCGCTTCTCTTGCTCCTTCTCCTCTTCCTTTGCCCGCTTCTCTTCCTCCTTTTTATGTTCTTTTGCTCGCTTCTCTTCATCCTTCTTTGACAACTCTTCTTTTGCTTTCTTGTCCTTCTTCGACTTTTTGCACTTCTTGGCCTTTTTGTTCTTCGATTTCTTCACAGCCTTCTTGCTCTTCTTTTTCTTATTCTTCGAAGATGTGCTTGAAGAGTTGGATGATGAATCCGACTCTTCTGAACTGCTGCTCTCATCACTTGCCTCTGAACTCTTTGAAGACGAGCTTGAAGTGACCTTCCTGGATTTGCGCTTTGCTTTGCCATCCTTCTGACTTCGCTTCCTCTTGTCATCCTTGTCCTCATGATAGCCAGTGAACATCTTTTCCACCAGCTCGTCAACGACTTCTTCCTCTGTGCTCTCATCCCAGCACAAGTACAATCGCATCTCCTCGCGATTGGGTAACTCTGGGTGTTTGCGCCAAAGCACGCCCTCCATCTCTGGCTTGCTTTTGGAAGCCACTATCTCTTCACCCAGCTCCTCGCCATAGCGGGCTATGATGTCTTTCTTCAGCATCCACCGCCTGGCGCCTCGAGCTTTCGTGTTGATACTCTTGCGCATCCGCATGACCAATTGGCTGCTGCTCCACTTCTCTTTGGCGCTGCACCATTGTTCGTACAACAGGTGTTCGTACAACAGGTGAAGCTTTTCTGTCTTCTCATTGCCTGATGTGATGCGATTAGGCAATCGATTGATCGATCAATTCATGCGTGGCTCTCCCACTTTAGTTATCATGGTGGGTCATGCAATGTCACGCACGCATGCAAAACATATCGAGCTCACCCAAAAATGAGTGAACACCATTGCAAACCAAAGCACGAGACCCATTGCGTGCTTTGTCTGCCAGGAACCTCACCTCTTCTGGACACTTTGGGCCTAGGACCAGAGATGGAGAAGACATGCGCTGTCAACATGCCATGTGCAGATGTAAAATATTTTTTTGCAAAAGCTGAGGAATGAACTTGTGAGACTTCGGTAGAATCTCATCCTTCTGCTGTGCGTGGCTTTATCCCTCTTCTTCTTCTTCTTTGGTGTCGTTTCATCCTTATCACCATCCTTCTTGGTGGTCTGGGCTTTATCCCTCTTCTTCTTCTTCTTTGGTGTCGTTTCATCCTTATCACCATCCTTCTTGGTGGTCTTCTCATCATCCTTCTTGGTGGTCTTCTCATCATCATTCTTCTTGTTGGTGGTCTTGGGAGGGCAGTGCTTGTCGAAGTCCTCAAGGTCCAGTGAGGCCTGCGTCTCCGCCACATCCGAATCAGCAGTGGCAGCCCGGTTGAGAAGCTCGCCCAAGCTCTCAGCTGTGCAAGAGCGGTGCACTGATGATGACTTCTCTGTACTGGAAGTTTCCGGTGTACTTGAAGTCAAAGAGGTGGAAGGAGGCGACAGCGCGTGTGGTTCTGCAGTGCCACCTTTCTCTGATTGCTCCACAAGCCATGACACGAATTCCCACAGGTCGTCTCCTGCAGTCTCAGGATCCTTCATGAACCTCCAGTCGCTATCGGGGCCTTCCATCTGGGAAAGGATGTCAGCCTCATGTTCAGCTGCTCTCGGGTGGGCCTTTGCTTCAGCAAGAACATTCTCCCAGACTTTTCTCTTTTCCTCGTCTCCATCATCTCAAATGTCTCTGTGTGATCGAGGATCATGTCGCCAATGCATTCCGTCCACTTTGTATCCTGTGGATGCGCAGCCCTGAAGGCAAAGGCGTAGTTCACCAAGCTGCTCAATGACTCCAAGGGCGGAGTCTTTGGCGGAATCCTCTTTGGTGGCGGGCTCTTGTCAACCTTATTCTCATTTTGGTCAGCTGACGTCTGCTCACCCTCTTTGCACCTTTGGCCTCAGCCTTTGCCTTTGACATCTTCTTCACAACCTTTGCTTTGCTTTTTGCTTTGCTTTTTGCTTTGCTTTTTGCTTTTGGAGCCGGCTTACGTTGTTCCTTTGGTTCTTCTCCTTCACTCTGCCCCAGGACCAGTGTCTCTGCAGTCAAAGAAGCAGGTAGCCGTGGACGGTCGGCTGGGGTGGCTGCTGCTTTGTGCTGCGGTGTTGCCTGCTCCATGGCCCGCAGATCAGCCATACTCCTGCGAACATGTTCAAGTGCTTCCGAATCGGCTGCAGCAACAGTAGTGGCTTGCGAATCTGCCAATCCTTCTGCACGTCCATCCTTTGCTGCAGGTCCTGGACACAGCTTCTTTAAAAACTTTTTATTATAAATTTATAAAGCAAGTGTACCAAAGGTTTTTCCACTACGAAACAATGCCAACATTCTTCTAGTGGTCTTTGAAGTAGCTGGCTGATCAATGAAGTTGATTCGATCGACTACGTAGACAACACACATCGACTCACGCTAGCTCCTTCATCCGGTTTTTCCGGGAGAAAGTTCTTGATGTTGAAGCAATTATGTCGTTTGATTGCTGCTTGCTGCAACAATTCCTGCACATGTGCCTCAACCTCAGCCTGCTTCACTTTTGAACGCGGCACGTCGCAGATCACTAGAAAGTCAAAGTGTACAACAGCCGACCCTTGCAAGTGTCATGCATGATTACATTATCAGTCTGTCAATGTTGCGAATGCACATGTGAGATTTGTTTTCCATTTTGCAATGCATTTCATGATGAGAGCGGATAGATGACATTCGAGTCACACCGCAATCGAATTTCAATTCTCAAATCCGGCCAAAGGGCCCTTGAGTCACGTTCGGCGACGACCTTCGCCATCCGTTGGCATTGTGAGAAAGGACGCATCGCGGCCTTCGAGTTCTTTATCTTTGTTGCTTGGAACTTCACTTTGGCAGTGATGAGAGAGGCTCATCTTGCTGTGTGACTGCCTGCTTTTGGTCCGACTCAGGTGTTGTGCTGCACAGTCGTCAAGCAAGACCGGATGCAAATTGTGAGGTGCTTTCCAGGCCAGTTTCGGAGCTAAGCAAGACGAAACTTGCATCAAAGAACACGAACGAGCCTATGTAAACGTAGATTTGCTCCTAATTGGCCTACTCTGCAACGAAAGATCCCAGTTTGCGGGACAAAATTCCTGCTGGCTTGATGGCCTTTGCTTGAGCATTGTAATACGCAGGGAATGTGCCAGGACAAGAGGCAGGGCA